TTTGGACGCCCGCATCACGAAAATTGTTGCTTTGTTCGTCGGTGATTTATCTCTTATCTTAGGGGAATAAACAGGGAATTGTTGGTAATCTTTTTTCTGCTTTCTTTTTGCCACTTTTTAATCTGTCCGAAATGTAACGAACGTAGATTACAATCGTATCGCTCCTAAGAAAGCAAATATTAGTAAAATGAACAAAGTTTATGTAATGAAGTATGACGGGGTCGAAGCTGCACTACGAATGAGTAAATTGAGGCATTTTCAAGAGTTACCTGTGTGAGGTATCTGTGCATCTTGCAAGTAGTAATTGAAAATATTTTAAAAGTGCCATAGACCCTATTCTAAGGACTGCTGTTAAAAAAACAGCTGTGTTAAAGAAACTACAAATTACCGTTCGAGTATGTACATATCGAAACCGCAAAGAAAGCGCCCGTAAAAGCCTTTAAGCATGCCATATGATCCTTTGGAGGCCAGTAACGCTACTTTGCGTTTAATCCACAAAGGTGCTCTTAAGGAATAAAGAATGGCCGCTTTATTTATTCAATTATTCCAGTCCAGACCCGGCAATAATTTCTTTCAAATATTCACTAAGTTGCCCGGTTTAGTTCGGAACGCAGGTTCGTATTTTGTATGGGAAACTTTACATGAATGAATTCGACGTTTGGGATCGGCTGAGTTAGGAGTAGTCGTTTTATGAATTTGAGAAATTGACAATTTTTACTCAAGAAATTCAAGGAAAGTGATACTTATTAGTTCAAGTGTATGGTGATGGGATTTCAATCCAAAAGCCTGCTAAAATAATAGAATAAATTCCAAGCAAGTGTTGACTTGGCTAGAAATCGACTCTTTACACTCTCAGCCCAAACTTAGGTGCAGTTTGCAATGTTAGTTAAATTGCAAAGCGCTTAAATTTGCTGAAAAGTTAGGTTTTAACATTAAAAAAACAACAGTCGAGTTCAGCTGACTTTAAAAAGATTTATCTTCAATTTGTCACTCGAGCAGATTTTTTTCCAATGGAAAAATTCTTCATCTTTTATTTTAATCAAACATTTTCGCAACGTGAGTCTGAGCATGAAAATATTTAGGCTTGACCATTGCTGAAAACTGGTGAATTTTCCAGCATTTTCCGGCAAAATCACCAGTGACTCTCTTCTATCCGGATATCGAGAACCAAGAATCAGTAAAGAAGTTTAATCGTTTTAGTCTCATTGATCATTTTAAGCTGGTAAGCGCGGTTCTTGAAAAGCACAATTTTGTATTAAACTTTCGAATTTAACCAGCGTATAATCAAAAATCAAGTAGAAAGATACGATTTCTTTAGGTACTTCAATGGGGGAGAATAGAAGATAATTTGCGCGAAAAACGAGCAGATCTCGATATAGTTAATCCAAAGGAAAAATAACAACGCAAACTATTGAAGCTCGTTTAGAAATAATTTCACCCACTTTTAATTTAACAGCAAAAAGCGAAAATTCCATTTAGTTTCTAAAGGCGAAAAATAGATCATCAATTCCGCTAAGTGGCAACCGAGCTGAGCTCTAAGCTAAAACCGCGTTAGTCACTAAGAAATTGAATCTTATTAAGAAATTAAATCTTCATTAAGAACAGAAACGTAAAATTTCAGAAAATAATTTAAATGCGGAAATTACAACCGAGAGTCGAGCTCGAATAATAAAGCCGTTTTGCTGGCGGAGCTTGTTTTCGTCCCTTTACTCATCCGGTTTGAACTATTTTAATTAAGACGACGGCTAATTTAACTACGCAAATCTTCTGAGACAGCGAGGGCCTGCTCGAGGATTCTTTGTATCACACCCCACTTGTATTGTCGTCTTGCAGAATGGGATGCTGTTCCAATTAATTCGACGTCATTGTTACCGTTTAGCCAAAGTAGGAGGAACAATCTTCAATAGTTTGCCAAAGCATTTTGGAATTTATAGAGGAGGTTTACCTTGTGCTAAATATAGAGAGAGCTTTTTCATTGACTCTTCGACCTAGAACTCTTTTTAGCAAATTCATCCGATTCTCATTTTGGAGCTGGAGCAGACTCGTGCCAGTGTGAATAGAAAAAAGCATGTTTATACCAGCAAATATACAGCTGGAAGCTTAAATAATAAAAATGTTCTTATTTAAGAGGGTACACAGACCTTGAGTACTGTTGCAGCTTTTGGGATCGAAATATTTCGCCCCTCTTCAACTTCAGCAACTCTGAATTTGTATAAATTGATTAAAGAATCAACAATCTTTCTCTTCTTGAATAAACGGATCCCGTTTGGTAGAAATAAGAAAATAACGAATTTTATGCCATCGGTTTTACCTTTTCGGATTTAAAAAAATGTCAAAAATACGTCTTTTTGTTCAATTGTTATTTACTTTAAACATGTTCAACGATTCAACAGTGACAATTTAAATTAATATTCTTTCTACAAAGTTCCTAAGATTAAAAGTGCAATTTTCTAGAATTGAAAAACTCACACAAAAACACTTTTTTCGGCAGTTTTATTGAAGTGATAACTTTTTATGGGAGGGGGAACCGATTTTTCTCGGTCACGGCGACCCCCACTCCGGCCTCTTCGCGCCTGAGGCTTGGAACGCACATATGCACTTTTTTGTTAGTGCGGGTGCATCTGTAGATCTGATAAACTTTTCAAATGCACATTGCGTTATTAAACTGACAGTGACTTTGATTTATCAAATATTGAGTGTGATATTATTGTGTTTGGTGCAGTTTATTTTATAACGCTGATAATATTGTATCAACAAATTATCAAGGAAGAAGCTGCAGATACTGCAAATATTAGGTTAAGGGTGCTCATGTACTAAATGCCTATTCGAGTTTCGCATTTTTTTTTTATTTTCAATTAAAGTACACACACAATTATCCACACTAAAGCAGTTGAACTGCAAAAAAATGCGGATCGTCCATCAATTTGCAGAAAAATGTATTACAAACTTTTGAAAATCATCTTCAAACGACCGGTTTATCATTACAAATGAGATTGCACATTGCCATGTACTGTTAAATATTGTTTTAAGAACTAACAATCGATGTTGTGCAACAAAATTGTGCCTATGATCCACTACAATAAAGTTTCGAAAGACTGTTGGACCTATTTTAAATCGCCTGATTGATTGTGAACGCAAATTCGTATCAAGAAAAAATTAAAATAAATTAAATCGCATCGATAGAATCCCGGTACCGATTCCCTATGTCTTACTCTCCGTCTGTAGTCCAGATGCTGCCCAGATGATGTCCATTTGCATTGTATTGCACGATTCAAAGTTCCGAACTGGTAAAATATTACTACCTACTTGTTTAGTGACTTTCATCGGAGACAATTGTTAAACCAGATGTTGAGCGGATATTTTCTAAATAAGGCAGGGTCAATTTATGAAAAACGATCAAAATTAAGTCCAAATAGCGTGTCACAACTATTATTAATAACTTTTAATGCAATAATATGTTCTATTATTTGTTATTTTATTTTGTAACAACAAATTATCAATATTTAGATATC